CTCTGTCTCACAAACAACATATTCATATACGCACACACACACACACACACACATATATATATAACATATATATATATATATATATGTATATACACACACATACATACACACACACACAAAATTTATATATATAAATACATACATATACATATATATACATACATACATATATACACGGAAAAGAATTCTCTGTCTCACAAACACACACACACACACATATATGTATATAGCTGTAGGTTTATGAATAAATACAAATATATGTGTATATACACACACACGCACACACACACACACACATATATATACATGCATACACACACACACACACATATATATATGTATATACACGCACACACACACACACAAACACACACACACATATATATATACACATATACATATATACACGGAAAAGAATTCTCTGTCTCACAAACATATATATATATATGTATATATACACACATACACACACACACAAATATTTATTTATATAAATACATACATATATACATACATATACATATATATATATATATACGTATATACATACATACATATATACACGGAAAAGAATTCTCTGTTTCACAAACACATATTCATACACACACACACACATATATATATATATTATATATATTTATGTATACGTATTGATATATTATTTCAAAATGTGTCTCTATATTATACTAAAGGGTCGAAGTATAGTATTAACAAAAATCGATAGCACAGGCAAGGTCAGTGCTGCATATCAATACGTAAAGTTCATATATATGTATATGCAATTATATTCATATATATATATAAATATATATATCTATATATATATATATATATATCAGTATAAGTAATCGAATGCATACATACGCACATATATACCTACATATATATGTATAAATATATATACCTACAGATTTATGCGGATTTATACACACACACACACATATATATATATGTATTCACAAATATATATGTATATATATATATTCATATATATATATATATCTATACATATTTATATATATGTATTCACAAATATATATGTATATATATATATATATATATAATAAAAATAATAATATATGTTTATAAAGATACACAAATGTATTACAAAGAAATCAGAGGTCGAAGTTAGCTTACTCAACATGAGGCAGAGAAAACATACGTGGTTCCCAAGAGCGAATGCGAGGAGCTTGGCCAGCCCAAGTCGCCAAAGCCCGAGATGGCGTGTGAGTCCAAGTTCTCCGATACTACCCAGTTCTTGTATCAATCCTTTCTAGTGCTACACTTTGAACGGGAATTAATCGTTGACTCCGACACAGTCGTGCCTTGAAAATAACCAATGTACCATCATGTCCATTCGCATATTCCACAAGAAGAGAGTTTTGCAATCTCGTTTCCTCGGCATGAAATATCCACTGTTGACTGTACTGCGCGACCAGTTGCTCTCCCAACCTCTTCTATGTATTTATGTTCTTTTTTTAGGAGGCTATGATACATACCAGCAATATATACAAAACCCAAGGGTATTATTTACTGTATATAAATAGAAATACCCTAAACATTTTAATCCGTCTGTGGCATATACGCTCTATAAAAGAACCACTTCTGAAACTAAATTTGGAAAGAAAGTAGATATGAAATAATAAACTACTAGTTTCGTCGCAAATCAACTATGCGGTATGTATTCCATGAACAATACACATAATTTGGGATATGATATAAGACACACTGATACGTGTTTTAAACTATCCTGACTAGAGAGGGCCTGGAAGAGAGTATATGGCTATTTTTAGAAATTAGCCTACATATTGTAAAAAAATGGGATTACCCACAAATGTGCATCTCAGAGAATCGAGATGCTGTCCAACGTCCGAAGCGAACACAAGAGAGTAGTGAATAGTTCAGCCAAAGTATTCTTATAATATAAGGTACAAGCGAAGCATCGTCCTCATCAGATACCACCTGGTTTGATAGCAACGTATATACATATATACATATACGTCTATATATAAAGACAATATGAACAGTCTCGCGCGTTCGATTGGTGGTGTTGCCACAGTATCCAAGTCAGTGCGATGCATGTCATCGGTCGCATTTTCATTTCAAAACTCACTGGAGTGCAGTCCCGATGTTCAGGTATGTGCTCATTTTATGCAAGAAACTGATAGGTGTAAGCTCACTACTTAGCACTTTACAGAGAATAACATGTCTATATTTTTTAGCTGTCATCATACTCGTTGAATTTCAATTTCTATATATATATATATATATATATGCAATATATATATATATACATAAATATATAGACATATACATAGAGATATATATATATACTTGTATATATGCATATATATAAATATATATATATACATACATATATATATACGTGTG